TCGTGTTATCATTATTAATTCATATCTGCGTCCGTATAAAAAGTTTCTGGTTCTATAAAATTCGAATCGTGAAATCGGACAGAGGTAAAAAAAACCTTCTGCTATATTTACAACGCGCGAATATCATCGTTTTTCAACCGATATTTTATTCATTCATGTTTAAATCCGCCCGGCTAGGTATTCTGGAATTTTGAATTTTAAGTCATAGAACAATCGATAATATGCTGTATTTTGTTAATAAAATAGAGATTTTTAATTGGGGTCTAAATGATCCCAGGTGATCCGTTTGCGTAAAAAAAAATAAAGTGACTATTTCCGGGTTAATAGAAAAACAATCACGCATTCGTGCTTGCCCCCTCCTCTCACTTCTCAGCCACCTTCGTTTCCTTTCCCCGCGTTACTTCTGGGCCCGGAAAATAACAGATATATGGTGCTTTCCATTTGGTGACACAATCGACACAAACATCATTTTGTCTTTATTCCGCATTCAATGAATAACAGAGATAGGATGATGCTTGTGTCGACTTGTGTCACCAAATGGAAAGCACCAACTGATGTCTTCGGAGCGCCGCGCGTATGTTCGGGAACAGTGCGCGGCACAAGGGGAAAGAGAGAGAGAGGCAACCTCGCAGAAATGCATAATAGCGAACTGCATAATAGTAACGCGACAACGTCGGTCGCAACGTTTGTCTTTCGCTTGTGGCGATCTCTCTTTAACCACTTCACTTGACATTTAGTCGCCGGTGGCTGCGGTTACGAGCGTGCGTTTACAAGCCTCCGTTTAAACGAATAACTCGTCTCGGTCTCTCCGGCGCGTCATCAACGTAGCTAGCGTAAGCACTGATGCATCATTGCGTCTGGCCGATCCCGCGATAAAATAACTATATAATAACTAAAGTAATGTATATATATATATATATATATATATATATATATATATATATATCATTAGATGCACACGTCGTTGCGCTTGTACAATGTGTTCACACGGAGGATTACTGACTCTCACGTGACCGACGCATGTCGTTGATACGACGACGACAACGCCCTCGATTGTGGCGCTCGTCGTCGATTAGCGTTTCAATTTACCGAGCCGACATCTGTTCCGTGACTCGCGCCATGACTCTTTCTTCTGGAACGCCTGTCGCCGCGACGCTCAACGATACGTCTTAATGTGTCTCGGAATTTTTCCTAGCCGTGTACAACGCGCGCACATACACACGTACGTACGTACATGTTCGCATTCATCAAAGCCGGCCGCATTAATCAGACATCGTTCGGCACGTCGACGACGAGCCGCGGAACATCGCTGAGACACCGCTCGTCGAAGCGATAAGTTAGCTCGCTGAGCAAGCGAGAGAGAGAGGGGAAGGCGGCGTGCAACATATGCTCGCTCTCATTAGCTCTTATGGTGCGCGCACCAACATGGTGTGGCGGTGCCACCACCACCGCATCGCCGCGTGCCACATAGGTGGTAGCTCCTCGTTTTATCGACCGAGAGCGAACGGCTCGGCTCTCGTCTCCCGTGACCTGACCTCGTCTGAACCCTCCGCTGCTGCTGCTGCTGCTTCTCTCTCTCCCTTCCTCCCCTCCTCTCTTTTCCTTCTTCGCTATCCTCCTCTCTCTTTCACCCGTCTCTGTCTATCTCTTTTCGCCTCGCTCGCTCTAACGCAATCACCTCTCCGACATTACCACAGCCGGCCGCCACTCTTCTCTTTCCCTCCCTCTCAGTTTTACCATCGTTTGTCGCCCCCGCGATTCCCCATCGCTTCGAGACCGCGCTCCTCCCTCCGTTGAACTCTGTCGCTCCGATGAGCGAGCGAGCTAGCTCTCCCCCGGTACTTTCTATACGATATTAGCGCCTGCCCGAACTGGAACAATGGGCCGAAACTCATGTAATCTGCTTCGCTTATCTTCGCGCAACGACGATAGCCTCTTCTTCCTGCTCCTTTTGCGAATTTCTCTCTTGGCTCTTTTGCTTTGCGTATCCTACCTCCTCTTCTCTTTAACCCGGAAATAGTCATTTTTTTTTTTTTTTTTTTTTTTAACGTAAACGATCACCCTGACTCATTTAGAACTCAATTAAAAACCGTTATTATTAACAAAATATAGCATATTATCAAGTGGGTTAAATACTCTCTAATTTCTCTCTAAATCTATCTTACTACTCCTCTTTTTCCGTCTTGTTGTTTCGTCCGTCGAATGTTCACTTCATATTCCTCCAAATTCGGTTTTTATTCCGTTATATAATTGTTCTTTATCTTATCATTCTCGGCCTGTGCGCTTCATTGTCCTATCTGCTTATTAATGTTTCACTGATATTTGTCCTCGTATCAAAAACTGGTGCTCCGTTTCTTTTTCTCTTTTTCGATCAATCCGACGTCATCGGACATGCGTCGGCCGTATTGCGAAAAATTCGCTGATTACACGTATTCGGAACAGTGGCGGCGGCTGTTTGACGTAATCGCGTAAATTCATTCGACTCGGGCAACGGGTCACTATGCGTGAAAGTTAGGGTAACTCTCCGATATTTACGCCGCAGAAGTAGTCGGTAGAAATTGAAGGATTGGGAATAATTTCTTTTACCGCAACCACTCTCTTATATGTCTTTATGTTAAAAGTTAGTTTAGACAAAAGTTATTATATTGAGGGAATCAAAGGTCGAAAAAAAACGTTGGGCCAAGTGTATTGAGATGAAGGGAGACTGTGTTGAGAAATAAGTTTCATTTGGCTCGAAAAAAGTGGCTTTTTCGTAGTCAGGTTGGAAACTTTTCAATCTCGTATATTTTTATTTCTTGCAGTTTAGTTTACCTCATAATAATTTGTAAATTATAGATCCTGCATCTTAATCACTGTGTGCTCGAGAGGGTTTTACCCTTAAGGTGAAATAAAATCTCTCTCTCGCGCGTGCGCGCGCGCTCCTTTCGTTCGTTCGCTCGCGAAATGTTGAAAAACCGAGAAGAGAGGAAATGCTCGTCCGAGATTTCGCGCTGACGAGGTGTTTGCGCTCAGAGCTCGAAGTTTTTGGTATCGCTCGAACTCGATGAAATTCCGCGGGTTGCGCCTTATTGTGTATTACGGCTCGCCTTATCCGCCCATACGGCATCAATACACGGACACCGCCGAGCCTTTGGTAATAGTAATAACGACGGAGAACCGCGCACGCGATGAAAAGAAAGAAATAGGAAAGAGTGGCGACCTATTAGAGAGGGTATACGGTACGACCTTCGACCGCAGCGCTGCGGGGCGGGGAGGCTCAGGGTCGTTTTTCAAGGGGATCAAGGGAAGTCCGCGCCCCGAGACTACACTTATTAATATCAGAACTTCTTGAACTAAGTTTGAAAAATGTACAATTTCCCACGCTTGACGTATCTATTCGGCTCGTTCAGTCGCTGCGAGAAAGAGGGGATCGTTAACGTATCTTTCATTGTATACCTGTGTTATCGGAAATGTAAATTTTTTAGGTGATATTAATTTCATCATTACTCCCCGATCAACTTCCTCACGTGCATGGTAAGTGAGCTTTCGAACGTACGTCTCTGAATTTTACGTTCGACATTTCGTCGCGATTTTCAACTTCGATCTGGAATCTGGGCGAGAGAGCCGGCCGAGAGACAATAGCAGCTTTCGCGCGCTATTTTCTCTCTTTCGAGTTGGGCATAACTCTTTCAGGCGTGTGTGTGCACACACCGGATGCTCTCCTCTCTTGTGGACGACGGTAAACCGACTCGAACGCGTTTTGCCGAAATGTATTCCGGTTTCCCCCCTCGCTTCTCCTCCTCGTATCATCGTTCTCACAATGTCACGACCGTCGTGCGTGATTCCGGCACGACGTCACGGTCCCATTGACGCCGACCCCGACGAGAGAGAGACACCTTAAACGCTCGTAAAACATTTTCGTGACCCCCTTTTTCATCGTAATTCGACGAACAGAGGCGAGCTCTCTCGGTTTCCGGTACCGCGAAAGCCATCGATGCCTATCGCACCGTCGTTCGTGCGTATTCGAAACGCACAAACCACTCCCACGTTCTGTTCCGGGAGAGCCGAAAGAAAATTTAATTTTCTCATCACGATATCTTTTGGGGAAGCGCGTACGTCGGAGGCACTGTTGAATGTGAAAGTACACGAGAAAATGAATCGGAGTGTATCGCTCGATATGTGACGAAAATGATTAAGAATTTTTCAGTGACATGAATGGAGGAATTGATTTGTGTTGAGAAAACTATATGATTCCGTTAGAAAAAAATGAAATTGACCTTCATTTAACTTCGACAGCTCCAACCAAAGTTAAACTGATAAGATCGGTAAATAGATCTTTTTTAAACCCTATAACTTTTATTTAAAACATTTTTTTCAAAATTGCTTTGTATATGAGATACTCGACTGTACCCAGACTTTTGACACACCCTGTATACATATTGTGTATAAATTAATGAAAAAAGAGATGGAGAAAGAATGATTTGAGCGCGCCACTCTCGATCGGAGGCGAAATTTTAACGAGCCGGATTTTCATATCCGTTCGATCCATACGTCGCAACGCTCGCAACCCTCGTTTTTACGAGTATGCATACGCCGCAGGTACGCGTGGTTACCTTCGAGAGCCATCAAGGTGATCCGAATTCGTCGACCGGAAAGTTACAAAACGACCGTGTGTGTACACCCCGTGTAGTCAAAGCGGCCAGGAAACGACGTTTAATACAACAATTTCAGAGCGGCATGCCTGGACAAGGTTCACATACACACACACACACACGCCACATTCACTCGCAGTGCAGAATTTCCTGCAGGGTGAGGCAGAGAGAGAAAGAAAGAGGAGGGGAAGGAGGAAAAGAGACGAGACGGGGAGGAAGGGAGCCTTGGGTGCGCGATAGTTGGGAGGGGACACACAGGGAGATCGTATCATCGTTCCGCTGGCACGACACGAGGTCGCGAGCGGCGAACTACGCCGCGAGAGCGCGCCACCCTCGCTAGGGGAGCGGCGGCCGTTCAGTCGGACTCGGCTCGGCCTGCAGTCGAGCTAGTATCGTGGCAGAGAACGGAACGGTAAGGCGTGAGTAGTATCGGAAGAAAGAGACCGGAGGAAAAAGAAAATTTGAGGTGAGAAAGAAGGGAGAAACGGCAAAGAGAGACAATGAGCCACACGAGGTACGTTTACAATTGAACATTCGTGAATGAATTCCTCGATCGAAGTGCGAGGTCATTGGACGGGAAGAGGAATTTCAGGGGGAAAATAGAAGTAAAGAAATAGAGTGCGGTTAAGAACGAAGGGAGAAAGCGAGGGAAAGAGTGAGAGATAGAGAGGGAGAATTTGGTGGTGGTTGGCAGAGTAGAAGTAGTAGTAGTAGTGAGTAGTAAATCGAGCCGAAGCTGTGCGCCGTCTCTCGGTGGTGGCTCTCCGTTCCACGCGAGCGTCCGCGCATCGGCGCCGCGACGCGATCTCGTCGCCACGTTCGCCGCCGATCGTCGCGCTCCCCGGGAAGCCTCGCCGCCGCCGACATCGTGCCATTATCGCCGCCTCTGCTGCTGCTGCTGTCGTCGTGGCCGTTGCCGCAGCCGCTGCCGCTCCGTCGTCGTCCCCGTCGCGAACACAGACCAGTGAAAATGCGGTGGTGACAGTGACGGATCACGGGGGGAGGAGTAAGGACTCCGGAAAGTTCGTCGAGCAGAGCAATCTCGGTTGTTGTTGCCGGTCTTCTTCGTGTTACGCGAGCGCGCCGTTCGTGCTCGATCGAGTCGGTGCCGGGTAAAACGAGACGGAGAATCAGGGAGAGAAAGAGAGAAAGGAGGAAGAAGAGGGAGACACGGTAAAAAGGACTCGAGAGGGGGAAGGGGGGCGCTACCCGGTCTGAAGTTATTATGACGAGCTCTGTTGAGGAAAAACGGAAAAATCGCGCGCATGTGTTCAGTAGGATATAGTGCCAACGACAAGCCGCCGCTCGCAGATCTGGATACCTTGCTCTCACCCGCGGGGCCTGGATTGTCGCATGTTAGGATGGCGCTGGCGCGGTACGTACACTCCTCTCTGTCTCACAGGCCAGGTCGAATTTTAAACCTTAAGGAGTCGACCAATCACGATCGAGATTATTCTTCTGTCATTCCTTCGTGATTGCTCAATCTCTTAAGCCTCAGGCGGGGATCTGCAATGAGAATTTGACTGATCACGATTGATTATTCGATCGGTCAATTTCTTAGGGTTCAAGGCTCGAAGCACCTATTGTAAACTGGGGCATAATTGCGCTCTGGCTGCCCGTCGTCGGAGCTAGCTGGCTGCTACAGGGTGGGTCTTCGTCCGGGGCGAACGGAGAGCGGGGGACGACATGTTTGACCGGTAGGCGCGGGGAGTAATCGCGCATCGATCGCGAGCCGGTGTCGAGAAGCGCGCGAGGATACTCGTCGTGGGATTTTCGTATTGACATCTCGCGATCAACAGCTGGCCGGAGGATCCGCATCCACTCTCTTTCTCTCCTCCGAGAGCGAAAGAAAGGGGGAGGGAGACATGAATCCCTTTCAAATTCTCTTTGCGATTCCTCGTTCGAGAACGTTCGTTATCCGCTGCAGCGGCGTTATCGCTCATTAACGACACTCTTTCTCGATGTCTGTGTGTCACCTCTGTGTGTCGATAACGACGACAAACTTTGCAGCTTTCTTGTCTCGCAAATCGCCTCGCGTCCAACGATCGATCTCGACCTCCAGGAGGTCGTGCGCGCCGCGTTAGCGTACTTGTATTCGTGGTAGTGAGTAATGGCGAGGTCCCGGGGAGAATATAACGCGGAGGTAAAAGAGCGGCGCGAAGTAAGTAGGGATTCCTTTGTGTATCGAGTAACGACACGCGTATGGCGCTTTAATGTGTCAAGGAACGTCACGCCGAGTGCAATCGTAGCGGCGCGCATAGTGGGGCGAACGCCGTCACTTTTCGGTCATTTGCTTGTAACTCCCATATTTCTTCGATGAGATATAACTTGAAATTTCATATAACTGATGTATGATTAGCGTACTTTCAGTGCATTAAATGAAAATTAAATTATAATTTATCGTTATCGATAAAACATCACTTTCTGAACTCACTCATACGTGTTGTATTAGTTTAAGGCTATTACTTAAAATCAAGTCGACATTGATTTTTGGTTTCTTTCTTCAAAAATATATATTGATTATTGCTCATTTAAATGAAATGCGGCTTTACACACTTACTTATTTATGTTTAAAGGACATTTTTTAATATCTCCCGATATCCGGTTTTCAAGCATTTCGTATTGCTGTGCGGAGGCACATTGACGAGGCATCGCGCGCGCGTATACTTCGATTGTGTCAACTCGCCGTTACGATGATGATGCGAGAGGGACGGTATTTTTCGGCAATAATTTAAAGCACAGATAAGCGTACATCTTCGGCAAAACGGTCGAACGAAGCGAAATGGCGAACGCGAAGGGAGATATCGGCGCAGAAGTTCAGAAAAAGTCACGCGTGACAAGGCAGATAAAAGCGCGAAATCGCGTCCTTGACAACTCCGGACAATTATCGTGAGATTAGTTTCGAGGACCCGAACGTCGGCTGATTCGACACTGCGCTCTCCTCCGGCTTTTCACGGAAGCGTTGAAAGCTATTCTCCGACGGAGGAGGATGTTGCAACGGTCAAGGCAATTCGTACAGTCGCGTGTGTCGTGCCGTTTCTCACGTCAAGGTGTCTACTACTTGACAAATCTGAAATTCTCAGTAAATTGGCTTATGGAAAAATCGAGGCATCCTCAGGGAAATCTTATTAGAAATCAGAAAACTTCAAATGGACATTTTTTGTCTACGAGCCATGTTATCGCGTATTGTTCATAAACAAGTATTGTGGGGTTGATGGAATTTTATTTATCGATACTTTCTTCATTAAGAATCTTAGTGTTTTCCAGTTTCCGGTTTGAAAGAAAATCGAAAGTCACATCGATCAGCCGTTGCAATTTCGTAAAAGCCGGATGTTTCCTTGATTTTCCGAGACGTTGATAAAAAGTGTTGTTAACGCGGGAACGACCGCTGCGGGTCCTCGTTGTCGCGCGTTGTCATCATGGACGTTTCGTCGCGATTTTGAGCGCGCCACGCTCGGGAGTTTTTAGTCAAGTCGAAGGAAGGAGGCGACAGAATCAAGGTGAATACACCTTTTTATATGTTAGACGCCGACCTTCCTGAGGCTGCCGCCGATGCGGGCTTCGTCACGGCTCGACGATTCTGGCTGCTTTCATGTAGACACATGTCCGACCGTGAACGCCGTTCTCGAGAGCCGGGAGATTCGCGATGGAATTCGAACGTGGAGAAACGTGGCGTTATCGCGCTCTTTCGTGCCTCCGTTTCTTCGTTTCGTTCCCTCTTTCTTCCTCCGTCGGTTCTCAACAGTCGCGCAAGGACGAGAATTCGCGTTGCCGCCGAGAGTGCGGAGGAAGGAAGGAAGGAAGGAAGCACCGGGGAGACGAAGATACGATAGTGGGCGAGAGCGAAAAGTTGACAACGATGATGTGTTCAATATTTTGCCTATAAGAAATTAGCCCTCCTCACTTTTTGAGTTTATTTATTTTGACAGTCCTGTTGATTTGTGCTGCATTGTGCTCGAACGATAAGCGAAAAGTGCGTGAGAAAAATGTAAAAAAAAAACAATTTTTTCTTCAAAATGTTTCACGGCTGTTAAAAACTATAAAAGTTAAAAGTTATTAAATTTCACTCGGGGAAGCGACTGTAAGAATATTTTTAACTCTCGCGATGTTCGCCAATCGATCGGAGTGTTATATCGTCTGTTCCTCTCTGACCAAAATAGGCGGGCTGCGTCCGATCGATCGATCGACCGACCGACCGACCGACTGATTCAGCGAGTGAGTAAGCGCCATAAATTCTCCCTTGAATTTAAGTTCTGTTAGCGGTCGAACGCGAATTTCGACGCGCCGTCCAATCGACGCGCTCCCGCGAACGTCGGCCATTCAGCGAGAAACCGGGCACTCCGCTATCGGCGGAGTCACGGTATTTTCAGTTTCGTCGATAGGCCGGCTCCGATTACCGTTAGTCATTACTTCCTACCGTTGCGTGCACGCCGTACGTACACCCGTATGTGAAGTGGCAGTCGACTCGGCCGAAGCAGTAAATCACGCGGCTATAAGCGGATTCTCTCTTTCTCCGGGATCTCCTTTCTCATCATCGTCTAATCATGCGCCGTGACTTGTGAACGACGGTATTTCGCGCGCAGTAATACGTATCCAAAATCTAGCTTTTACACGGAAAAAAATTAAGTATCCATTCAAGACTTATATATTCTAATAGATACGATCATTGTTTCATACATAAGCAAGGATATATGATCTTCTTGCAAAAACTTAATATTCTTGAATTTCAACAAAATCGTTATTGCGATTTTACGATAGTCCGCTATAGATCGCAGTGTGATTATTCTGAAAATAATAAATCTTGTAACGTTTAAAATAATTATATCAAAAAAATGAATGCGTTATTTTGAATAACTCTGTATTTGAATCAAACGTACGGTAATGAGAATACAGATCTTCCGAGAATAAAGAATATCCTTTTTTTTCCGTGTAGGCTTATTTGTCGTCGTCGTAGGTGTTGTGATAATCGATCGATCGAAGATAACATTACTCGTCCGAGGTTACGTGTTAACGCGGTTATTGCGAAATGTAGTTCCGCGCATGTCCTCGGGCAGGCTCTCGCTCGTGTAACGAACTTCTCATTGTTTATCGAGCGCGCAATTAGCGCGCGGGTCATTTGCCTCCCACGTGTACAATCAGAAGTTATCGTCAGTGTTCGATCGAACTTACGCCGATGTGTGCCGACGATAAAAGTTTATTCCCAGTCCTCTTTATTAGCCAAAGCTCCTTCGCGGCGCGGTTCCGCGACTTTTAGAATTCGCTCGTACGCGAATTCTTTTTTTTTTCTTTTTTTCCCCTTTTTCCCCCCTTTTTTATCGATGCGAAGAATTCGTTCGATATTTACGACTCCTGAATCTCATTCTCGTGAATTCGCAAAATTCGTTGTTGAACGTGCATTCCGGTCGCTCGTCCGACTGCGTCCCCGTCAAACCGCTCCTCCGTCCCAGACGTCCTTCGTCCTTGCCGTAGCATTAAGTATTCTAAATCAACTCACGAGGAGGAGACGGAGGGAAAGTGGAAAGGAGGATAAAAAGAAAACACGTTAGTCCTGTCTTGAATTTTTTTGATTTAACGTCGAAGACGATTTCGCGCACGGTTTCGGCTCGGTTTGTGTCGCATCGAACCGGAAAAATCTGCCACGTAGTGATACGTTACCGTTCGCATCATATTTTCTCGTCGATGGCGTATGAAGAACGCAAAAACAGAAAACGGCTTTGAATATTAACGTTACAAATGAGAATAACATTCAGTTGGTAGTTAAATGTTCTCAGTTGCGATAACACAGAATCATCTCTTGTCACCGAGTCTTCAGTTGCAGGAACTGAAATTTTTCTGTGTATCTCCGAACGCAAAGATTAAAAAAGAAAAGCGAAAGAGGATACATGTACTTCCGATAGGAGTACATTGTGAGGCGATATTTTCCGCTTTTCCGTGCGTGTTCGTTCCAGGAAGGACGATGCGAACAATACGCGAGTACACTTCTTTACGCCAACTTGAGCGAAAAATGACGACTCCTCCGCCCACGAATGTCAGTTACAAAGAGCACGATTCACCGGTAGATTTATCGTAAGGCGACTAAATCGAAGTTGAAAGTACCAAAAGATGCAAAGAATCTATGCATACAGTTATTATATATTATATGTGTGTGTGTGTGCGCGCGAAAATACGAAAGCTTATCGAAGTTATCGCTGAACGAGCAAACGGCGAGCAAACAGCAGCGATCACAGAGGCCAAATCGGGTACAAGGTTTCGAATATCGTAAAAGAGAGCAACGATGCATCGGCTCTTTTGTGGCGGTCAGCACGGATAGTGACAAAAAAAAATCGCTTGACAGATTTATCGACAGCGGAAAAAGTACCGCTTCAAATGTTAAAA